TGAGTGCCGCCTCTGGCACCCGTGCCATAGGTTCGCCACCACTGTTCTAGTCCAACACCTTGCTCAAGGCAGGAGACTTGAAAGTGGATTCTTTGCAAGACCCCAAACAGCAGATCACACAGATTCTTTGGGATCACAAGACTCTCAGCACATCAGCCAGTTTGCTTACTAATGAAGGAGAATATTTGTAGATCAGGGTTGAAATGAGGGGTTCTTGGTGCTCTCTGAGCTTCCTTGTTTTCTTGCAGATGTTTCATCATCCAAACTGGGTAACCTTATCAGTGCTACTGTAGTAAGGAGTGCTGTTTGCTGTCGGTTTATAGCCTAGAGTGTATTGCCTGTCTGGGTGGGTGGGTGGGTGCAGTCTTAGGGATTCTGTTCTGTCCCAGCCTACACGAGTACTGCTCACCCCCTTACTCACAAGGAAAACCCCTCTGAATTGAACAAGGCAGGACTTTGTAAGAAAAAAACCCTTTTATTTTGACACAGCTTTTATGGAACAAACTCCAGTCCGTTAGCTGTAGAAACGAACAAGATCAGCCTCAGTTCTCAGCTGGAATGCTCAAAGTTCGAGTCAAACACAGAGAAATCTGACAAACCTGGTTAAATGTCCAAGAATCCCGGGCAAGAAATCCAACAACAGAAGCATGAAGCTGTAGCATGAGCAGTTGCCTTTGGCAACCAGCACCTCCCACGCCTCTCCTCTTTATAGTCCAGCCAGGGCATGGCTTCTTAGTGACTCTTACTTTGCCTATGAAGCTGCCCCATGGCCCTCCATTGTCTTGCTGGCCTCTCCTCTCTGCGCATCTTGGACTGGCCCCAGCTGTTCCTCCTCGTTGCTTAGTTCAGGCCCCCAAAACAGCTGTGTCTCTGCCTGAGCGTGAGTAGATGGGCCGGGCTCCACGTCTGGCTCTGAGACTTCTTGCTCCTTAGAGCCTTCTGCAGACTCCGATGTGAATCCAGGCACCTCCTCCTCTTCATCCAATTTGGCTGCTGGATCCGCTGGCAGGCAAGGAATCACAACAGATTCTTTGGGTTGGGCTGTTTACTAATGGCTCTGTGGCACTTTCTTGATTGGGGTCTTGCTTACTTGATTGTTGATCTGAAGGTGACCTTGGAGTTTAATCTATGCTGATCTGAGTGTTGATTACTGGTGGAGAGGTGCTAGAGCGGGGGTCTTCAAACTTGGCCCTTTTATGACTTGTGGACTTCAACTCCCAGAATTCCTCAGCCAGGCATGCTGGCTGGGGAATTCTGGGAGTTGAAGTTCACAAGTCATAAAAGGGCCAAGTTTGAAGACCCCTGTGCTACAGTCTTTTTCTCTTTGGGGCTGGTTGATTGTGTATTTTGCAGAGTCTACAGATGTTATTAATGTCTATGTATCTATTGATGGCTGATTTGTCAGATGCTAAGCTTCTAAAAATTCCCTGGCATTTTTGGATTTGGCCTGGTCTAGGATAGTCACATTTTCCCAATGGAAACTATGATGTTAAATCTGTCTATAAGTTGTAAAATTAAATAATTTTCGTCATGCCTTGACTGCCAGTTGGTGTTTGTGGATGCGTTCTGCCAGTCTTCTGCCTGTTTGTCCTACATAGGGGTTGTTGCAGTTCTTACATTGTATGTTGTAAATGATTCCTGTTTTTTCTTCTCGGATTGCTGGGTCTTTGGGTTTACTTAGGATGTTTTGAAGGGTAAAGCCCTTATGTGCTACGCTGATTCCATGTGGTTTTGGACCAAAAGACCCATTATTTTCGGGAGATATCTTATTTTGCAGCCACCCACCCACTCCATCCCACTGTCTGGTTGCTTGGGACCACAATGGGGCAGGAGAGCGCACATCGCACCAGTGCTGCCGCCTCGAGTTGAGGCAAGGCAGGTGGGGGGATGGAGCTGCCCACATGCCCTGCACTCACTTACCTCAGGCCCCCTGCAGCCAGGCCACTCCCCATTTGGCGACCCCTCCTGCCCATTCAATGATCAGGGCTGCCCGCCCGTCTCTTCCCTTTCACTCCCCTCCCGAGCTCAACTGCCATGCTACAAAGGATGAGAGGGGGAGACTTGGTCCCCTTACCCAGTCCCCCTGAGCTGTCTTGGAGCCAGGGGGGAGTGACGGTCAAAGGCCTCCACTGTGCAACAGCCGCATCCACTGTGCAACAGCCGCATCCACTGCTGGAGGGGCTTTCTTTGGTTCCCTTTGCGGTTCTACCCACACAGCCACAGGAGAGTTATACCAGGTCTGGCAGCTGGAGTCATGACAGCACAGTCTTCGGAGCACCCCCACTGCCATCTCTGTGGCTGTGTGGGCAGAGCCGCAAAGGGAACCAAAGAAAGCCCCTCCAGTGGCAGACGTGGCTGTTGCGCAGCGGTGGCAGAGGCCTTTCACTATCACTCCCCCCTAGCTCTGAAATGGGGAGCAGGAGAGAAGGAGGCAGTGGCTGCCGCCGGCAGGTGCTCTGCGGGGTGAAGCAGGGGCGGCCGCAACTGAAGAAAGCCCCTCCAGCGGTGGATGCGGCTGTTGCACAGTGGCAGTGGAGGCCTTTCGCTGTCACTCCCCCCCAGCTCCAAAACTGTGGAGGGGGACCGAGCCTTCCCCACCCATCCTCCATTGCATGGCAGTCTGGCTCAGGAGGGGAGTGAAAGGGAAGTGGCGGGCGGGCAGTTGGGTCATTAAATGGGCAGGGAGAGGTCACCGAGCGAGGAGTGGCTGCCCCTCTGGAAGTTTATCCAATGGAACAGAAGTATACCAAGTGCCCAAAATGTAGTGATGTGACCACTGGAGCCAGGGGGGGCACACATCAGAACTTCAAATCCAGTACCTGTCATAACTTCAAATGGTCACTAAGTGGTCAATCGTAAATCGAGGACTACCTGTGTAGACACAGATACCACACCGACACACACCTATTACACTAATTTGGGTTCTTGCAGTGACACCCCTTACAAGCCATCAAGCGAATGACACAAGTGCATGACATCTCTGCACCAACTGACCTCCTGCTGCCTGTGTGCTCATGCCCCTCCCCTCCCCTCCCCTCCCCAGCTGCCTCTGCAGCCAAGAAGAAGCCGAGGCAGCAGAAGCTCCTCCAACCACACAGGCCTCGGAGCCTGAAAGGCAAAAGCCAACTGCTCAGACAAATGCAGGGGACCCCCAAGGAGAGCGCTGGGCGGCCACGGCTGGCTTTAAAAAGGACACAGAATCCTTGTTAGCTAGTGGAGTTTTGTTTAAAAGTCCCAATTCATCCCTTTTAGCAGGTACTTGCTAAAGATACTTGGATCCTACTGCATATTTGATTGATAATTTAACAAGCCCGTTGATTATCCTATAGCAGGGGTGTCAAAGTGGCAGCCCACACGCCAGATGCATCACGCAGAGGCCACGCCCACCCCAGCTCCACAAAGGCAAAAAATGTCACAATACATCACATGATGCTATTGAGCTTGACACCCGTGTTCTATAAAGAATTAGGAAAATTTGACCTGTTCACATTCATGTTTATGCTTCTGATTCTCCATGCATGCCACACATAGGTAAGATTTGGTCCAGTATGTTGTGAAAACCCCAGCATTGCCTTGATCTGCATTGTGAACTCTCCGTTACCTTAGATCAGAGCTCCCCAACCTTTCCAAGTTCGCGGCCTGGAGGGAAAGGGAGGAGCAGGGAAATGTGTGTACGCACGTGTGCACGCATACGCAAACGGGCGAGCACATGGTGGCGGCACTAGCACCCGTGAGCATGTACACGTGGGCCGCATGCACCTGCTGCAGTGCTGGGGCTGGTGCCCGCATGCATGCAATAGCGGACCATTAGTACCCATGCATATGTGCAAACAGACTGCTAGCGCCCACATGCATGCACAAATGGGGCCGGTAGCGCCCGCACAGTGGCAGTAGTGCAAGTGGGGGGGGGGTGCACGCAGCCATTCCCACGGCCCGGTGGCCCACAGATTGGAGACCCTGCCTTAGATCGTTCGTTCATTCTTTCATTCATTCAATTTCTATAATTGCCCAATCAATGATTCTGGGTGGCTTACAATTTTAAAAAATGTTACAATCAAAATATTAACATTTTAAAACAATAGCAACATCCAAAATAAGTATACATAGCAGCCCAGAGACTTGGCAATACAGCCAGAAAATGGGGCTCTTAATGCATTCAGTGGCTCCGGCTCAGCAATAGAGCCAGGTATATATTTGTTTGGGTAAAACATACTAACGGAACCCTGCTGTTGTGTTTTATTAACATGGATTTAGCATGTCACAAAATCATAGTATCCTAGACTTGGAACTGATCTTAGAGACCGAGCTCAGGGCCCATTCTGTGCTCGATCTCTGATCAATGAGCATCAAGCCTCTGTTTGAAGACTTCTAGCAAGGAGAACTGAGCAATTAATAGGGCAGCCGGTCTGCTGGCTCAGGATGCTCCTCCTGGCATCTAGCCTGAACCGCTTTTTCCTAATTGTAGCCCATTGGCCCTCCCCTCAGAGGCCACAGGGAATGAGTTCACTCCTCCTTCTACAGGGCAAGGCTTCCAACATTTGAAGACTAATAGCATCTCTCCTCTCAGTCTTCTCTCCTGTAGGCTAAACATGCTCAGAACCTTTAACCACAGAATTTGGTTTCTGGAGTCTCCACCATTTTGACAGTCTTTCCCTGCAATTTCTGCTCGCTGGTTCCGGTTCTGCCCATTGGGGTGATAGAGAATGAACCTACTCCCTTTTCTGCACAAGGAACCTTCAGATAGTTAAAGAATGCTTTTGCATCTCTGCTCAGTCATTCTTCTCTAGTCCTCCTAACTGTTCCTCATAGGACTTTATTTCCAGATTCATCACCTTAGAAACCTTCCTCTGGAGTCACTCAATTTGCTGTTATTCTTTGTGAACTGTGGTGCCAGAACGCGACACAGGACCCTCAAAGGGATCTGACCAGGGCAGATTTGAGCAGGACAATCCAAGAAGGTGTTCTAAATGATGCAGTTGAATCCTGGCCAGCCATCTCACCTGATCAAAGAGCTGCTTCCCTGTTGTATTGGGCTGAATGGCAAATTCCAGCTCAGCATCCATGGTGGTCACTCGCACACTAATCTGGAATTAGAAGGAAAAATCAATTAAAAATCCAGCACACCACACAAAACACAATCTCAGCTAAAAGACAATCCTTTAACTAAAAATGGGAGCACCACTATCAAAAGCCTACTGGAAATGTAGTTCAGGGTGACAACTAGGCAATTGGGATCCAGACATGCCACTGTTTATTTTCTCCAGGAGCCAGGCTGAGAGCGTCACACAACTGGGCACAGACAACGTTTCCAAGATGTTTGTCACATCTCTCAAAGGGCAGGACTTCATCTGTGTAAGCCTTCCATACTGATTAGGTGTGGGCTTTGGTTGAAAAATAGGGAGAAATTATGGAATCACAGTTACTAGGAAGTCTCTGTCACATTCTCCCCCCCCCCCCCAGGTTACAATAAAGGTTTTGATGCCTTAGGGCTTTTCAACCTTTTCACCCATTGTACCACTTTTAGGATATGGCAACATCCGAGTACCACCAGTCTCCTAGCAAGGTGTCAAAAACTTGATGACCAAAAAACAAGGGAAAAAGTGATAAAGTACAGGTAGTCCTCGACTTACAACAGTTCGCTTAGTGACTGTTCGAAGTTACAATGGCACTGAAAAAAGTGCCCTCCAAGCCACAGCCGAGCAAGACACCTGCCTGCCCACCCGGCGGCGTTCTTCCTCCTGTCCGAGGTTTTCATTGTTGTGAGCATTTCTGTTGAGGATTGGCAGCAGGGGTGGGGTGGGGGGTGTTTGGTTTTTATTCCCCCCGTCTGCTGGGTGGTTGCAGCAAGTTTTGGTCACTTCACATGACCCTGGGACACTGTGACCGTCATAAATATGAATCAGTTGCCAAGCATGTGAATGTAAATCACAAGACCTTGGGGATGCTGCAACATTCCAGCTGATTGGTGCTTCTTCAGGGCTCAGCAGAAGCGCCAGGATCAGTGCTGCTTTCCAGCTGGAGCCTGGCGCTGATCCTGGTGCTTCCACTGAGCCCTGACAGCCCCGAAGAAGAGCTGATCAGCTGGAGCCTGGCGCTGATCTTGGCGCTTCCGCTGAGCCCTGACAGCCCTGCAGCTCCAGCCGTCTCTCGCTCAGGCTTGTGCGGTGCTGCCACCAGTTCAGCTCATTCCCCTCCCCCGCTACCACTTTTCTAGAATGGTCGCGTACCACCTGCCAATGTACCACAGGTGATACCCGTACCACTGGTTGAAAAGAAGGAAGAGAATTCAAAAGAGTGGACCAGCCTAACGGATAAAGAATGAGGCAGTCATCAACAGTAAAAAAATAAGAACACAGTGATCCAGCAGAGTGCACACCCTATTAAGCCCTTCCAGGCATGGTTTCACCTTCCATACTTCCCAATCGATAAGCCAAACAATGGGAAGATTATGAGGAGGACTTGAAGTCTAACACATGGGGGGGGACCATTCACTGGGTTGCACCTAAGCTTTTAATGGGCAAATGCAGAGACTTCTTTGGTGTTCTAAAACCTTATCCATCTCTTTTCTTTTCAACTTCTCTCCAAGAACAATCAAGCCACAGATTATTTCCAATGCAATTTCCATGGGACAGCTCGCCCAGCCACCTAAAAGCTTTTTTTTTGTTTTTGTACAGAATTCAAATTGTGCAATGAAATATTTACAGCAATAAAGACCCTGCAGAGTTTCATTCCAAAGCTCCACCAGAATTAACAAATTGTGTTTTTTGGAATCAACAGTTTGCAGAAGGTCCTCCTTAGAAACACCATTTTTCTTATTATTATTATAATAATCCTAAAATAGTCATGAAACGGAGCCTTCCTGAACTTTCTCTGCCTCCTAAAACAGAGATTTATTCCCATTACTCAATGCTTCTTGTCCAGTGAAAAGGAACAGCAGAAACGACACTCTGAGCAATTGCCCCAAGAGGTCAGGCTCCCCTGCAGTGAAGTCTAGCCATTTTTGAGCCTCCTCACCCCCAGCTGTTTGGAATGCAGTACCCCAACACATCTGGTGGGTACCAGGCCCAGAAAGACGTTCTAAACACTACGCCGACTCCTATATCGGGCTTCTCTGGCAATGCTATTTCAAAATACACACCCAAGATACGTTCTCTTCCGGCAGGATCCAACCTTTTGGGGGGCCAGGCGGAACACTGAGAATGTGTCAGCATTCACTCTCTTGAACTTTTTCTTCCCAGATATTATTTGTCAGATTTGGATCTTTCCTATATCAAAAGCTCGAGAGGGCAGATCGGGCCTTCCCTCTTTGTTTTTCCCCATAACCACCACCCAGAGAGGCCGACGTGCCCAGAACGCGTGCCTGACTTGCAGCTTCTTAGGGACCATCTACAACCGAGGACAGATCTGAGCCCAAGTCGCCCCTCCCCCCAGTACCAATCTGGAACAGCTGCTCCAGCTGCCCTTCTTTCTGGGCACAGGAGCAGGTCTCCAAACCCAACAGGGGTCGGTTTCTCCCAATGTCTCTGGGGCCCTAGGAGTCTCGGACAGTCCTGGAAAGAGGCAGGGCTCAAGGCTGCGTTTCCCCTACATGGCGCCAACCGTCCCTTACTCTTCAAGCACTGTAGCGATTGCATATCAGCACAAGCCAGAAACTGGTAAGCACCAAGAAGCTGCAGCCCATTGGGAGCCCAGCAAGACTGCTGTGCCTGCGTGTGGGGCGGTCTCCCTGGGATGAAAGCAGAGAGGGTTGCCTGCCCCCTTGCAGGACGAACTGAGCCAAGGGACCGGCCTGACTCCCACATTGAGGCCAAGCGATGTTAGGGGACAAAGGGGACAAAGGGCATTTTGCCTTTTTCACCAGCCTGGCAATCAAAACAAAAGCTTGTGGCCGGATTCTTGCTCGGTGTGGTCTGTCTGGTAACATCTGCCAACCTTCTCCAGATAGAGGGCCCCCCCTTGTGCTCATATAAAGAACCCAAACACAGCCCCCTCCCTCTTAAACTCTTGTGCAGGAAAATAGGCGGAGCAGGGGGAGAGAGAAAAAATCCAGAAACTGGTGAGCCGTTCAGTTCTCCGAACGGCACAGCAGCCTGAAGGCCAGCCGTTGCCACCGTGCCAATGCACACCAGAGTCCATTTGCAGGAATAACTTGATTCCAGAAATTGTCAAGAAATGTTCTATTGTCCAAGCATCAGAGATTATCGTATCATGGGCACCAGTGGCAGCCATGAAATTTGAAATTATACATTATAAGTTGCCCAAATATGATGAATTAGATAAAATAGATGTGATTGCATAATTTGTGCCATCTACATTATTACATTATTATGCACGTGACATCATTCTCCCCCACCCATCCCTTGCAATGACTCACCTTAAACACCCTGCTCTCTAAAGAATTAAATAATTCACCCAAAGATGCTGTGGCAGGGCAAAAATTCATGCTACATGCTAAGCTAGATGCTCAGCTCTCTTAGTTAAAATCAAACTGGGTTAGGGTTTCACATGATGCATGAACCCTAAAGGGGCTTTAGGCAAAAAAACAACCATGATATTTTGGATCCGCCTTACAGATAGATAGATGCTCTACAAACTGCAGTTGGATAAAACTGAATGGAACCAGAACAACAAAAAAATAAACTGAATCAAATTAAGAATAAATCAAGAGTAAATTAGAATAATTCCTTTAATAAGTCTCCCTTCTGCCAGGTTAAAAATTACAATTAGGCAGCAACTTCCAGAAGGACCAACGGTTACCGGGTCCTAATTTGTACATATAGTCTAGATTAGTATTTCTCAACCTCAACAACTTCAAGATGTATGAACCTCAATTGCCAGAACTATGTTAAAATGCCGACGTCTTGAAGTTACTGAGGTTGAGAAACTCTGGTCCCAGGCCAAATCCAACCTCCAGTCAGTTTTTAAACTACAAAAATTTCCAGAATTATCTCTGCTCTTTTCCAAAGGTTTTCTAAGCCACCCACCTCTCCCAGAAAACCAGATTGAGAAAGTTGCATACTATTATTTTTGCTGGAGGTCCTATGTGGTCCAAACACTCTAGTATAAATTAACATGCTAGGATTATGGCATTCAAAAACACAATCCATATTATTCTCATATGGCAGGTTACAACATGACCAGAAGTTAAATCTCTTGGCTTTTTAAACCCACAATTTATCTCTCATTTATTGCAGGTAGAAGAGCATTCAGTTCAAGCAGGTGAACTATCAGAATAACAGAGCTGGAAGGGATCTTAGAGGTCTTCTAGTCCAACCCTCTGCTCAAGCAGGAGATCTTATACCATTTTAGATAAATGGTTGCCCAATCCCTTCTTAAAAGCTTCCAGTGTTGGGGCACCACAACTTCTGAAGGCATGTTGTTGGTTGGTTGTTCTCACTGTCAGGAAATTCCTCCTTAGTTCTAGGTTGCTTCTCTCCTTGATTAGCTTCCATCCACTGCTTCTTTTCCTGCCTTGGGGTGCTTTGGAGAATAGCAACCTCTTCTTTGTGGCAGCCCTCAAATATTGGAACACTGCTATCATGTCACCTTTAATCCTTCTTTTCACTAGACTAGATATACCCAATTCCTGCAACCGTTCTTCATATGTTTTAGCCTCAGCTTATCAAAGAATGGCCCTTGGGAAGAGAAGCCAAATGAGATCTACTATGGGACAGCCAGGGCAAGAGCGTTAGACTGAAGGAAGGGAAGCTACAAGAATTTGTCCCCAATTAAAAGGAGGGCCTTCGTGGAACAGACAGGTTTCTAGTTCAGAGCATATGTCAGCACCCACCCACCAATTCACCATCAAAGACCTAGAGAGAATCCAGGTGCAGTTCTCACACTTCTACCTACCATGTTGCATGACCCTGATTTATGGCTCCAAGTTCTCTGACCCTCAGCCAAACATGTATACAATATACTATGGCTAATTATTACTGGCTCATTGCTGTCTAAGATGCCCTACTAGCTTTTCCATGAAGCAGACACAACCTTTTCCCTCTCCCTCCCTCCAACAAATCATGAAATCCAACAGAGAGGCTGATTCTCTTTCTCTGAAAGGAGACCAGGATACATTCTAG